TGGAAGGTTATGATGGGTTTCATTTTTGCAAGTAGCAAAGCAGGGAGATAGCCTGTTAACTGTTACACTATCAGAGTAGGAAACACATGCTAACCTGTTTGTAGTCAAAATGTAGCATTATTCATTTGGCTTATTGCCAATTCCAGGTTAAGGCTAAATTATTATACATAGCGAAGCTTCTGTATTTATCAATGTGGTGATATTGTCCAGTAAACCGTGCAGGTTAGAGGTGTCAAACCAATGCCCCTTGCCGAGATGGCAAATCTACTAAACAGTTTGCGATTGATGGTTTGTCCAGCACTTGTAAGTTCCCTTTCTATGTTTGAAAGTTTCCTTGTGATCCGTTAGTTATTAAAGGTGTTCACTAATGTATTCTCTATTTCAGGACCCAAATCCAAATAACCTCGTTGCAAGCACAATGTTTTACTCAGAAAGTACACGGGCCATGCTTTGCTTGGTAAGATTTATATGTTTGCTTCCAGGACTTGAGACTTTAATTGGTGGATTTGATGCCACCGCTTTCATTATTAGGGCACAGCTGAAACTCCAGTGTTCAGTTTATTAATATAAATATAAAATTACGTTGCTTGACCTTTCCCTTTCCTAGGAATCATATGAAGTGCAGATATTTTTTTTCTCAAGTAATTTTTAGGAGTTATCACATAACCTTTGCTTTAGAATTGTGAAAGGTTGGTGATTCAATAGCTTCTTTTTGGCTACTCAGGTTAGAATAGAAACAGATCCAGCAGACAGAACCCAGTTGCGTATGACAGTTTCTTCAGGGGACCCTACATTAACACTCGAGTATGTATCTACATAATGTATTGCTAACCTTAAATTACAACGATGGAAGATAGATTCCTCTGATCTCCGGGTGATGTACAGGTTGAAGGAGTTCATCAAGGAACAACTATGTAGCATCCCTACAGCCCCTCGTGCACCTGGACCAGTGCCACCAGCACCTCCAGTAGCTCAGCCAACCAGTCCGGCTGCAGCATTAACGGATCCTGGGGCTATGCTAGCCGGTCTGCTGTGACAAAGTGAAGATGATATGTGAGGATTTGTTCATTATACACTCATAAATCTGATTTATACAACCTACCCAATGGTATCTCTCACCCAAAGTTCAAGAGGTGGATAGAGAAAATCCTGATGCAAGGGCTGGCGGAATCAAGTGTGAGCTAATTTGTGCGGACGGCTTAGTGTTTGAGTGGATCTCTCCATGGGTTGGTCGGGGTTTTCAAATTCTTTCTGTACAATGCAATTGTGCCTAAGTGAGAAGTTTTCTCGGTTTTGGGGTGAGGGTATTTTTATTTCTTTTTCTTTTTCTTCTTCTTTCACATTTTTTCCCCTCCCAATTTCAGTGGATTGGTTTCTGTAGTTACACAGTACTTGACAGAACAGAATGTAAGATATTGGCAGCATGAAGTAGATTAGTTGTAATATTTTGTATTTGGTTGTTAATGCATAAATATGTTTTCAATAAGAAAATTGATTGGGTGATCAGTAATGTGATGTTGTTTCAAAAGATCAGTGATTAACCCTTAGGGTAATTTATTTTGAACCAAAAAAATCTGATACATTTTTCTTTATTGGGACTAACAAAAAGGAATGGAGTCGGCTTAAAACTCAAATAAAAATAAAAGTAAAAAAGCTGCAAGTAAACTGTTAACAAAAACAAGAGACACCGCTTATCCAACAATGTAATGGTAACAATTTCTCTCTCATTAGCTGTACACAGTGCAGAGAATACAAAAGCTCTTGAGTTTCAACTTGATAAACATTGAAACTGAGGTTTGCCCTCTAATGAATAAACACTAAAAATATATGAGAAAAGCAAGATGTCTTGAATTCTAGTAATTAGTCTGAGGTAGCTGCAATGAAGAAGGCTGCTGCTGCTGCTGCTGCTGTGGGTCTTGAGGAGAGGCCTAGTCGCTATCACAAAATTGGATATAATCTTCCATCAAACCAATATCACCACCACCCAACAGCCAACTAAGATGATCATCCATCTGAGCTGGCTGCACCAAAGGCATCTGCTGCTCTCGTGATTCAAGAGGGAGAGGGGCCAAGTCACTATCACAAAATTGGATATAATCTTCCATCAAACCAATATCATTATGATAATCCAATAGCCAACTCACATAATCATCAATGTTGCTTAGAGTTGGTGCAGGAGCAGCAATATGAAGATCATCCAAATAGAAACCATCCGAATTTGTGGTGCAATAATCTTCTTGTTGGTGATGAGGAACTTGATCAACAAGCAACATTGATTGTTGTTGATCTGTTAGCACACTAGTTCCCATTATATTCTCGTAGAATTCCATGAAACTGCAGGTACAAGTTGTTCTAGTATTGGTAACACCATCTCTCATCATCACTACTCCAATTCTCTCATTCAAACCCTCTAACATGGTGTCCAAGAAACTGTAATCAGTACTCTTTCCGGCCGAGAATGAACCCTTTTCAATTTTCTTTCCCAATTTCCCTAGATTCTTGTGTTTGAGAAGAATTGATTTCGCATCTTGTTGGTTTTCCGGCCAAGTCTCGATTTCGCTGTCGGCCCCAACAGCGACCACGCAAACGGCAACGTCGCACAATATGGAGAGTTCGCTGGCCATTTTCTTCAGAGTGGACATTCTCCTGGCCAAGGCGGGTTTCAGAACAGAGCCACCATTGGCGTCGAATTTAAGAACCTGCGGCTTCATCTTCATCTTCATCTTCTTGGGTTTCTTGGACTTTAATTGAGGAGGAGCCATTAGTTAATTCAACTCTGAAAGAGAGCAACAATGGGAATAATGGAATTGAAGAAACAAACAGTGAAGGAGTGAATAGCGAGAGATGAGGGTAACGGGGTATATAAAGGAATTCTAAGTTGACCGATGGTTGACCGAAGGTTAATTGGAGCCGAAGCAAACGGGAAAAACTAGCCGTTATATATGCTCATGGGTTAAATGGAAATCCTAGAAGACAAGATTTTATTGTCTAATTTGATTTAGTAATTGTAGTTTTTTTTTTTTTTTGAAATGGGAAATAATTAATCTGTTTGTAGTTGGAGGGAAGGCAACTTTAATCTCAATTTTTTTTTTGGGAGTGAAAACGATATTTCTATTACGAACTTAAACCCTGAAGTTTGTTACAATTATTTTATTAAAAAAAATGTTTGTGAGAACATCGTGAATAATTGTAACTATCAATATGGGGTCTAGCCCAGTGAAAAGGGGTCTTGACGTGCTGATTAGTGGTCTTATGTTCAAACCCCTATGGTACATTGGTAGTGCGTGAGAAACCTCCCTCCTTTTGTAGTTTAGATTATCACTTATATTTAAAAAAAAAAAAAATCATAGAATGTCATACTACTCATACTTACATAGTCTCTGATTTTTATTGATTGTTTGTTTTTTGGAATTTGACCAAGTATTGTTTCATGAGTTAAAGTGAAGATTGTTTTTTTATGTTGAAGTTTCTGAATTTATATTTACTTTTGTTATTTTATAATTACTTTTTTTATATTTACTTTTGTTATTTTTTTATGTGGAAATGGCATAGGTTATGGTTATTTTATAATTTATTTTTGGGATTTGTGGATTTTTATTTTATTAGAAAATGACCTTTTACATATCTTTTATTGAAAATTTATTTTTATTTATTTTATTATTCACAGATTTATTATTTTAAATGTAATAAATTTCAATTTAATTCAATTATATTAAAAATCAAACTCAAAAATTTAATCTAGCCACTTAATTGCATCCTCTGTATTACTGCGGCTGCTGGCACAAAGTTAGCCGATGCTTATTCCCCAGATACTGTCATTGCTTATTCTCCGGGAAAAGAAGTTCATGACCCTTAGGCCATACACAAGATTGGATTAATGTAATCTAATGAAAATCAATCCTACCTCATAATTCAATCCAAATAGTCACTAAATATGGCCAAGTGAATTAATTCTTAATTTTTTTTTCTTTCTGTTTGTTCTCAATTGAATTCCTGTTAAATGTGTAATCCCACGAAATTATTGTACTTCGGATTTATTCTCTCAATTCAAGACAAACCGATACCAAACCACTTAGTTATAGTTTTTTTGGGCTAGTTTATTTGTTCATAGAAACCACCTAGCTTGGGGTTTTTTATTTTTTCATATGACCTATAGTAAAATACTTTAAATAAATCTAATCTAAGAGGAGGGGGATTCGAACTTTTGTGCAAGGGAACGGTCTCACTGTCCTAGCCAACTCTCACGCCTGCCCGCCTAGTTATGCTTAAGCACCAAGAATGTGCCCTGTTTAGATATCGTCTAGGGCTAGGGCTAGGACTAGGGCGCTGGTTTGGGTTTTGACCGTTAAGACCATATAATTTACACATTCCTATGCTTTCTTCTAAGCCCAGTAACAACTTCTTTTCGAACTAGAAATAGATTAAATAGTCGAAACGGAAGCTATCGAGTAGCGCATCTGTAGTCTGAAAGGAAGGATGTCAATTTTCTAAACCTTGTAGGGCTAAGTCTTGTAGCTTCATTTAACATCACACAAAAAAGGGAATGCATCTACTAAAAAAAACAACAAAAGAACTTTCTACAACAGCCAAAAAATAAAAGAACTTTCTACAACAGCCAAAAGCATCTCAATATGACCTGATTTCATAACACAGAAATTTGGGTAGGAATTTCATTTATACAAGCAATTCAATCAGATAAGCACCAAAAACCTGCTTATCGTCTGAACTGAGTTCAGACAAAAATATGAAGCTGGTGAAACAATAACCCATTTTCTGATCAGGGAAAAATTAGCCACTTTACAGTTGGAGCTCCAAACCTCCTAATTAACATGGAGGTGCCTAACAAACTATATAATTGGGAAGTCACAATTCAACTTCCCAAACTTCTCAAAAGAACTGAATGTGCTAGAAACTCGGCAGGTAGCAACAACCATATCATCATTCAATCGGAAGCACATCAAGAATGGCCACCAGGATCAAAAGTAATGAGAACTGAAATTTCCATATCAGATGTCACCTCTAACAAATCAAAAGAATTAACGACAACCAACAGTCGTTTCCCTGCAACTTTCTCGTCCGAGAGAACTCCCCCTGAAGATCGTTTACAAAACAGAGACCTTAGAAATATGGCAAGAACATCTACCGCCACTCTCGGCACTGGCCGCACTTCCAGCTGCCATTACCAGAAGATGACTCAATCCAAGGAGAACAATTACTGTGTATCAATAGCCCACAGTTCTGGCAAGACAGATCAGCGCCTGGTTCTGCAAGTGAACATATCTGACATTGCATGATATTAACATCAGATTCTACAGAAATAGTAGACTTTGATTGATCAGTGAAAGTAGCCATGTTATATTGTTCAGGGCCTCCATCCTGCAAGACTGTATATGGATTTTCCAGATTTCCTGACTGATCTGCAAATGCTTGGCCTCCATCTAGAAAGCCATCATCATCATCATCAGGTGCCAGCAACTCATTGATAGTGAAGACAGTTTGCGGTTCCATATTCTCGTAATTTAGATCTTCATAGTCATCCATTATCCCACTTTTGACGCCATTAATGGAAGCATCCCATTCAACATGAGGGGATGGCACAATCTCCATAGGATTTGACTGGTAATTTGTTTCACCAGGTGTAGCTATTCCAGCATAAGTTATGTTACTCTCAGGAAAGCCATCTACATCCTCTTCACGCTTAACACCCCTTCTCACTTGTAATTTCCGTGGCCCTGGCCCGGCAGTATTCCATTGATCATTAACTTCCGAATTGTACTCTGTAATTAGCTCAACTCTAGCAAGGGAAAAAAGAAGAGGATCACCATCCTGTTCCTGTATGGATGCTTCCTCCATGGGAAATATTGGAGTAGCAGGCTCACAAAATTTAGAATCAGAAATGGTTGCAGAATCAGAGTCGTCTCCAACTGTTTCTTGCTTTGGACGCCTAGTGCGAACTTTCTTGCTCTCTTGCATCTTTATATCTTTAGGATCAGTGTAAGGACACACAGGTGACTTTATCCTGCGACACTTGCAACACTTGAAGCCCGCCACATCAGAAACCTTTGACTCCTCCAGTTCAACAGCATCAGCATGGTACCAATCTGCATGATCACAAACAGAATCCATCTTAGACACACACACAAAAGAGGAAAATAATTTTTCCAGAAAGACGGCACTTGTCAGAGCAAACTTACTTTTGCAAGTTTCACAACATATATACATCATATCTGACTGATATGGCATATGGCACAGGTGGCAAACAGGATACAACCCATGGGATTCCGAACCACCCGCAAGAAGTATGTTATTAACCCGGAAATGAGTGCCAGCTTCCACACCATTCTTCTTCTTCCATATAATACCCCAAGAACAAATGCTGCGGCGTTGTTTTTTTGCTGCCAATCGAGAGTCTGAAGTTGCCTGTTTTATCTCAGAACGAGTGTCCTGTGCTC